CCTCGAAAACTAGTAACTGTTCTCAGCCATGGATCAAGAGACTTGAATAACTTTCAAGCACCTTGCTCCGATGCCAATTGTTAGAAAAGTAGTTTTAAATCAAGAGGGGGGTGAATTGATTTTTGAAAGTTTTTCGCAATACACAGATTATCTAATTCGAAAATTAAGTTTCTAAAAATCTTTTTGAATTACCAAGCAATCAAACAATATAAGCGCAAGCAATCGAAATTAAAGAGAGAAAGGTTAGGAAAGATTTCACCGGTAATTTTATACTCGGTTCACCCAATACCAGGGCTACGTCCGATCTCCAGCCAAATTCCAACTTGGTTCCACTAGAATAGATGTTTTACAGTACTCACCCTCTTACACCTATTCTAACTCTCCACCAAGAACCAAATTCCAGCTCTTGGAAACCTCTCGCAACCAAATTCCAACTACAGAGAAACCAAAGTGCCCAAATTCCAGTGCACCACACACAAGAACCAAATTCCAGCTCTTGCTTTAACCTTTCCACCAAGAACCAAATTCCAGCTTCTTGGCAACTTTCTACAACAACTGCAGAAAACTTGTACCCAAATTCCAGGTACAAAACAAGACAAATGAATGAATAGAAATTTAAAAGAAGAAACAAAGAAAGCTCAAACCGGATTACACCAATCCACAGTCAGTTTCTTCTTCAAAGAAATGCAAAGTGCCTCAAGAAAGATTTCAAAAGAAGTTCACAAAAACAGTTGTGTATCTTTCTTGAAAAATGCTAATAGTTGCTTGTATTGATTGCTTGAATTGTGTCAAAACTGATATGTGATCTATATCTCAAAGTTCCAAGCAAATCTGTTTTTAAAAGAGTATTTTCAAATCTGCTGCATTAATTAATCTGTTGAAAGTTTGTTTTAATCTGTTGAAATAGCCGTTACAATCTGCTAAAAGTCCTTTCAACCCATTAATGCGTTCTTGATCTTTAACGTAAAATGTTTTAGTTGATACGACCACGTTTTTATCAGCTTAAAACGTTTTACAAACATTTTCTAAGTATAAAACAATCGATTGAATCACGTATTAATCGATTGATTTGTTTAAAAACCTCTTTATAAAACTTTCCAAGTTATTTTAGCTGATATAAAGTCGTTTCAATCGATTGAAAATCTGCACATATATTTTCAAGTCATTTTAATCGATTGAAAGTTTGTTTTAATCGATTGAAAAGATTTTCTAAGTTATTTTAATCGATTGAAATGCGTTTTAATCGATTGAAATAAGTCTGATCGGTCATAATTCAATTCTGATCGATCATAACCAACTCTGATCGGTCATAATCTCATTCTGATCGATCATACTGACATCCAAAGTGATTTTAATCGATTGAAACGTGTTTTAATCGATTAAAATAATTCTAATCGCTCATATTTAAGATCTGATCGATTATATTGCATTCTGACTTATTACATTCGAATTCTAATCGGTCATAAAGAGTTTTAATCGATTAAAAGAAGTTTGTATCGATTAAAATATTGTAAAAACACTTTTTAAAACATTCTAAGTGTTTTAAATTGATTCTTTCAAACCTTTATCAGTTAATAACTTGTTTAAGAAAATTCTTTGCCAAAATGCTTTTGTTTTTTATTTGTTTAAAACTATTTTTGAGGCATTTTGCAAATTGAGTGAAGAAGCTTTATGCAAGTGGAAAAGGTAAAGTGGTTTTACCTAAGCTTTCTGTTTAGACACACTAAGTCTTCAGCTCCTTTGTTCTGAGTGACTTGTTTGACTGCTGCAGAGTTGACCCTTGACTTTATCTTTGACTTCATCAAATCAATGAGATCTTTGCTAGGATCACTTTCAATAAGGAGTTATAAAAAACAACAAAAAAGCAAAAAAAAACGATAAAAAGCAAAAAACAACAAAAAAACAAAAACACAAAAAATAGTAATAACATAATAAAAAGATTTTGACAAAGTTGAATCATTCATACCCTCATCATTTTAGGAGTGGTAAAAATAAGAGATAAAATAAATGCAACATGCATACACATCATCCTAATAAAGTCTCTCATGCATAAATACATTCATGCTAGGGGGCTTGAGATATTGTAGACCCCAAATCTTTCCCGACTTCTCAATAAAGCCAGAAAACCTCCGTTCGAAGATGGACAAGGCTTCTTTAAGCCCCTATGCATGTTTACTAGGCTCCATATAAGAATATGAGAGTTTTTTGTACAGAAAAAATAGGAAAAACTGTCAGGAGACTCAAGACGGTCGTCCCGTTTGGTGAGACAACTGTCTCACTTCCCTAGGTCATGAGACGACCGTCTTATTTGGCCAGACGGCCGTCTCACCTCCATGAGGGTCGAGATGGCTGTCTCGTTTGGCCAGACAGTCGTCTCGCCATTCAAGGAAGGTGAGACGATCGTCTCGATATCCCAGATGACCGTCTCGCCTGATAGGAGTCTAGACGGCTGTCCCGGCCTGTCTAGCGCGATTTCCTATAAATACGACCTCTCCCCTCCCTCATTTCACACAATTTCACACAGTTCTCATCCCTTCTCTCATCCTAGAAGCTCTCTTAAGACTTCAGGATAACTCTGAGCACTTTCTAGATTTCGAGTAAGCCTTTCGATTTCCGTTTAAGGTATAAATCGATTAAGGAGGTCTCCTTTTGAGACATCCGACACTCGGTAGAAGGGTAGTTTATTTTATTGTGGGAGAGGAGCATGCTTGTAGAGTGCGGGGATAGCCAAAAAGCTTCCTCAAGTTTTGAAGAGTTAATATAAAAGCTCACTTTGGAGGTTCCTTTTCTTATTCTCTCTCTTTCACTATTTTCCTTTATCGCTTTCCTTGTATGCATTAGATATTAGGGCCATGTAGACATTTAAATTATGCAAGTAGATAAATAAATAGGGTAAAAACATGGTTTTTTAGTATTTACTTAATAAACTAGTCCATCATAGGGAACCCGAAAGGGGCGTTGTGGGGTGCTAACGCCTTCCCCAGACGTAACTAACTCCCTTACCCAACTCTGGTTGTAATGGCCAAAGTTGGTTTTCTAAACCAACACCTTTTTTTCTTCCTTTTTCGATGTTTACGGTAAAAACATTGGTGGCGACTCCATCGAACCTTTTTCAAAAACCTCGCCCTTAGGTCCAACCCGATTATTGGACAACCTAAAGGCGTTGAACATCTTCTTTAAAAAATGTGAGTCAAACAAAACCATCGCTTCGACTGCCTCTTTTGATGGCGACGACAGATGGTGACTCTACTGGGGAAGCTAGAGAGTTGATCCCATTTAGTGATGAACAAAGTTTAGAAAATAAAAACTTGAAATTATGCTTTTACCCTTCCTTGTTTTTATAACATGCTTTATTCTATGGCTTTAATAATTGTTGTATGTTTATTTTCTGCAAATTGTTTGAAATAACAACTGTACACAAACATTTGCACACAACAGTTCCCTCTATACCTGGGGGCATGTGGGATAAACTTAGGGAGTGGGTGGCAGGTACGATTTGTCGTAGTAAAGGGACATGAGCCCACCGGTATGGTCGGAAACCACCACTCAAGGTGATAAACTTCCTCTTTTGGCCAAAAGACGTTGACACGACCTTAGTGCCACGCATGGGGTCTGAGGGATGGAAGAGTGGGAACCCTATAATGGGGGCACCTTGGGGGCCTGACCTTAGTGAGGATAATTAGAACCACCTTGAATACGCACTTTTCTGTAGGATACCCCTACCTCGTGATTAAAACTTCGTCACACAGTTCGCAGATGAGTGAATTGTTTGTGCATTTATTTGTTGCATTTGTTTTTTGCATAGCATAATCATACAACAACAAAAATAAAAACAAAATCTCATAAATCTTTTTATAATAAACAACCTTATCTCGGACAGTTTACATTTTAGCTAGCCTAGTTTCAGGTTCTATGTAAGCTAAGTAGTCACGTTGACCTACAGAAGAGATAAAGGGGTAATAAAACAAATAAATAAAAATACAATAAAACTCATTTTAATAAAGTCAAAGAATTCATTTAGAAATAATGAAATTTATTAAAAAGATTTTTGACAAAGTCAATCATTCATACCCGCATCATCTCATAAGAGGTAAAACCATGAGAGAAAATAAATGCATAAGGAAAGTATGCATACACATCATCTTAATAAATCCCTCATCACTAGTGCATAATGGGTTTTAATAAGTCTTACGAGCATTTTTTGGGAAAATTGTTGGGACAAATCCCCTTTAGGATTTTGCCCCCTGTTCTTCACTTTTTCCTCTTTGTTTTGATATGCTATGCGTCCAAATCCGACATCCCAGTCAAAAGTTATCTAACTTTGAACATTTTTCACCTTTTTGTACTAGTGCATGCATAAACACATCCATTCTAGGGGGCATTAGATATCCTTAGACATAGGCGAAAGAGACCCCACTGCGTTTGTAATCTTCGACAAGGAAGGGACAAGTGTGCTAAGGGTATGGTAACCTTCGTTATACTTGTCAAATCTGTGATGGGGAAGAAACCATTACACCGAAGTGGGTATGGTACTCCTCAAAGCGTAAGCCTTAAGGATGATACCAAAATCATTGTCTTAAGGCATATCTATCCTACACTAATCATTCATTTCATTTAAAAATAAAAATAAATGTTCTTAAATTTATGTGCATTCTAGAAAGTGGCTGGTCTTCTTCCTGTCCTCACTCGCACACAAAAGGCCAAGAGGATGGAGAAATTAGAAGAGTAATATTGTAAGCTCACCATTGAGCTTAACGCCATAAAGGAGCAAATGACGCGATTAATAGAGCAGTTAGAGGAACAAAACGGTAAGCTCATCGCTGAGCTTAATTCTGTGAAGGAGCAGATGACACAGCTAACAGAACTAATGTGCCATCACCGTAAGAGTGGGAGGATTATGCAACCTCCCTCATCCACATCATTCAAGAAGTTCCTTAGCAAGAAGGAGAGGTGAAGCATTGTAGACCCCAAATCTTGCCCGGTCTCACAATAAAGATCAGAAGACCTCCTTTTCGAAGATGGACGAAGCCTAAGAAGCCACTAGGAGAGACTATTAGGCCCCATACTAGGATAGGAGGGATTTTTGGCACAAAAATAAGGATTTTCGCCTTTTCGAGTCGAGACCGCCGTCTCGCCTTGCTCAAGTGGCAAGACCGCCGTCTCGCCTTGCTCAAGTGGCGAGACCGCCGTCTCGCCTTGCTCAAGTGGCGAGACCGCCGTCTCGTTTGGCGAGACCGCCGTCTTGCCACCTACGAAAGGCGAGACCACCGTCTCGTTTAGCGAGACCGCCGTCTCGCCATTCCTGCAAGGCGAGACGGCCGTCTGGAATGTCGAGACGACCGTCTCGACCTTGTCAGACGAGACGGTCGTCTCGACCTGACAGGCGTGAATCCCTATAAATAGGGCCTCCATTCCCCTCATTTCTCACAGCTTTCTCACTCTCTCTATAGTCACATCAATAGTTTCTCTCCCTAGAATCCCTCCGACGCATTTCCAGAGCTTCTGAGTGTCTTTAGAGTGTTTTTAAAGCGTTTCGAGAGGTTTTACGACGCCGTGTAGAGTGAAGAGCTGCCGCAAAGCACCCTATTTACAAAAATTAAATAGAAATCTTGCTTCGGAGGTCTCTACTCTCTTTCTCTACCTTTTACAACTTTATTTAAATTATGCAATAGACATCAGGGCCATGTAGTCGTAATATTTAAATTCCGCAAAATAAAAGGGCAAAAGCATATTTTTCCAGTTTATCTATCAACAGAATAGCTGGCCTATCATAGGGAACCCGAAAGGGGCGTCGTAAAGAAACTAACACTTCCTTTACGCGTAACTAACTCCCTTACCCAACTCTGGTTCTAACGACCAAAGTTGGTTTTTCGAAAACCAACGCCTTTTAAACTCATTTTCCGATGTTTCCAGTAAAAACATCGGTGGCGACTCCAGAGAACCCTCAAAAACTAGCTCTTGGATTAGCCCGGTTATCGGACAATCCAAGAGCACCCTTTCGAAAACCTCGCCCCTAGGTTCAGCCCGGTTATCGGACAACCTAAAGGCATTGTAACCACCAATAAAAACGCGAAAATCAAGAGAGTCGGAAACTATCGCGTTGCTCCGACCGCGCTCGTTTTGACGGCGGCGAAAGATGGCGACTTCACTGGGGAAGCCTAGAGAGTTGATCCCATTTAGTGATGGGCCAGCTTAAAAATAAAATAAACCAAGAAAATAGCGCTTTTGCCCTACCTTGTATTATAACATGATTTACTGTTTGGCTTTAATAACTGTTGTTTTTTATACTTACGCAATTATTTGAAATACAAACTGTACACAAACCCTTGCACACAACAGTTTCCTCTATACCCGGAGGCAAGTGAGAAATCCATAGGGAGTGGGTGGCAGGTACGGTTCGCTGTAGTGATGGCCTTGTGCCCACCGGTGTGATCGGAAACCACCACTCAAGGTGATAACCTTCCTCTTTTGGCACAAAGACTGACTATGGCCTTAGTGCTAAGCATGGTCGGAAGGCTGGAGAGTGGGGACCCTATAATGGGGGCACCTTGGGGGCCTTAACCTTGGTGAGAACAGTTAGAACCTACCTTCACCAAATCACTTTTCTGCAGGAAAACCCTACCTCGTGATAAAAACGAATTCTCGCCTGTTCGTGGATGATCGAATTGTGTGTGCATATGATTGTTGCATTTGTTTGTTGCATAGCATAACCAAACAACAACAAAAATCACAAAAAAATATTTTTACAATAAACACCCTTATCTCTGGACGACCTGCCTTTTAGCTAGCCTGGTTTCGTGTTCTTTGTAAGCTAAGTAGCCACGCAGTTCGACGTAAGAGATAAGGGACGCTAAATATTTTTTTCGCATAAAGCCACATTTTATCTCGGATAGTCCGCCTTTTAGCTAGCCTGGTTTCGTGTTCTTTGTAAGCTAAGTAGCCACGCAGTTCGACGTAAGAGATAAAAGGCTATAAAATAAACAAATAAATAAAAATAAAATACTAAATAAAATCCGTTTTCAAAACCATAAATGGGGCCTGATTCATAAACATCCCAAATCATTCATATAGGTAGTTTATTTTTCAGAAAAAATACGTAAATACCATACACAACATGATAAACAGAAAATAAACACTCACATTCATTCAAATAAGCATCACTTTCATAAAACATGCATTTTGGTTTTAGAAAATGGAGGGGACTAGTAGACAATTGAAGAAGGTGGACATTCCCCGATATCATACTGAGAAGTTGGAACGGCTTTGCGCGGTAATGCCACCGGAGGTCCGCGCCGACTTTGAAAAATCCTATGGACGAATTCTTGACCTGTTAAAGATATGTGTCGATCAAGTGTTCCTCAGGGTATTAATTCACTTTTGGAACTCCAGTCTGCGATGCTTTGAATTTCCACAATTCGATATGGTGCCAACCTTGGAGGAGTATAAGATTATGTTGAAATGACCCAAATCGGCTGGGCTCCATATCCGCCACGGGGCGTATACTCCTGCAGAACAAGTCGCTGCCATCATTCAACTACCTTTCCGGCAGACTACCCTGATAGGAAAAGGGAACATCCAGGGTTGGAAAGTCTCGATGTTAGAAGACCACCTGTCCGACTTGGCAGAAAGGACAAAGTGGGTTGCCTTCAACAAAACCCTGGCTTTAATCATGTTTGGAACTATCTTGTTTCCCTTCCACCTCGACACAGTGGATCAGGTCATCATGGACGCCTTCTTCGCCTGGGACGTGGACTCGAAGAGTCCCTTGCCTGCCATTCTTGCTGACACCTTGCTCTCGGTGGAATTTTGCCGCCAGAAGCAAGGAAAAACACTTCGTTGCTGCTCTTCACTGCTATTCGTGTGGAGCGCTACACACCTTTATGCCTCCAGTCACATGGGGATATTCCCCGATCCTTTAAGGAGTTTCTCCAAAATCCCTCTCCAACGACGCTTAACTTTAGAATGGAGGGACGAGTTGGAACAAAAGGACGCCAACAGTATATGCTGGGTCTGCCCTTGGTTCCGACCTGGCCCAGTTCTCATCAAATGTGGAGACTATCCGAACGTACCCTTGATAGGACTCAGGGCTTGCATAGCCTACTCACCTAGAGTAGCTATGAGGTAGCTCATGAGGACCCAAACTACCATTTCTCGGGGGGAACTCGGAGGACTGTGTTTCTTCGGAGACCCATGCACAATCGCCAACTCACTAGCTGTAAGAAGAGCATGGGAGAGACCAGTCTATATGGGAGATAGAGAGCTAGGAAAAGCTCGAGTGACTGTCTCCAGTGACTACGAGGTGTGGAGACAAAGAAGAGGGATGTCTCAACCATCCACCACACTCACTACAAGCGCTAATAGTGAAGAGCTGCAGGCTCAAGTCGATGCCTTGACCCAGAGGATAGAAATCATGGGAGCCCAGATGAGGGCCCTTGAAGAAAGAGAGCAAGAATTTATCCTCACCATTGATGGTCTGCAAAGGCAATGCAAGAAAAAGGATCATGAAATAGAGAGCCTCAAGGATCAGTGTGCTGACTCTAACGAGCAAGCTATCCGAGCATCCAAAACTGTCAGAACCAGCTCGGATAGTCAAATTTAGGAGATAATCGCCAAGTCTGCACACCTTGAGGCCGAATCAGCAAAACAGGCTCAGACGATCAAGGAATTATTGCAAGAACTCACCAAGACTCGGTCAAACATACGCCAAGAGCGAGAGGCCAACCGGAGACTCAACAAAAGTCTCACTGAGCTACGCTGTAAGGAAAGAGACGGGCTAGCTCAGTATGGCCAGGTACTACAAGAGAAAGATCGAGCCGTCGCAAAACTCGACAAACTGCAAGCCTTGGTCATCCATCAAGAGGCGAAGATCAAAGAGGCTCAAAAATACAGTGAAGATATGAGCCAGGCGGTCCAAAAGCAAAGCGAAGCACTTGCTCGTCACGTACGAGAAGCCGAAAGAGAACTACATAGAGATCAGGACCCGCCTGTGGGTTTCTTTAGGCTTTTCCATTTTTTCCAAAAGTTGCTTCGTAGTATGGAGTAGGGGAATGTACACCTTCTGAATGGATAAATGAAATTCCTCTTTATTCCACAATTGTCTACTTGCATGCATGACATTCATTTGCATATTTAATTTCCCCTCCTTCACGCTTAATAAATAAGATAATAAAAAGGAAGGATTAACTGACACGTCTTCCAAATCAGAAGAATGGAGAGAAAGCCACTCCTAATAAAGCTTACCCCAACGGTCGACTCACCGCAAGAGGAGAATAAGCCTCGACCGTTGGTCCTCAAGAATAAGGAAGAGGGGGCAAGGACACCAGTGCGACTATTTATGCCACGGCCTTTCCCCTACAAATTGAATAAAGCTGTACCGTGGAGATATGGAGAATCTTCACCACTAAAAGAAGAAATAACAAATATAGTCGGCATCGGGGGCATGACCAGAAGTGGAAGACTCTACTCCCCCAAGGACTCACAAGAAGAGGTCCTCAAAAATAAAGGAAAAAATAAAAAGACCGAAGAAGAAAAAGAAAATAAGGAATCCAAGGAGGAGACAGAGGAATTACGCCAGTTCATAAGGCAAAGCGAGTATTCCATTATAGACCAGCTTAATCGTACACCCACAAAGATTACATTGTTATCTTTGATAATGAGCTCAGAACCGCATAGAAACGCCCTGCTGAAGGTCTTGAGCGAGGTGCACGTACCTCATACCATATCCCAAGAAAAGGTTGAGAGGATCGTTGGTCATATCATAGCAAGCGATCACCTCACCTTCACGGAAGAAGAACTCCCCCTCGAGGGGTCAAACCACAACAAACCCTTGCATATCTCAGTCAAATGCAAGGAGTACCTCATCGCCAAAGTTCTTATGGATAACGGGTCATCCTTGAACGTAATGCCCAAGTGCACACTCGACAAGTTGACTATCCAAGGAACTCGTCTACGCCCAAGCAGCACCATCGTTCGAGCCTTCGACGGATCAAAACGTGAAGTAGTGGGAGAAGTTAATTTGCCAATCCAAGTTGGACCCACTATCTTCAACGTCGATTTCCATGTAATGGATATTACTCCAGCATATAGTTGTCTCCTCAGTAGGCCTTGGATTCATGACGCTAAGGCAGTACCTTCAACGCTCCACCAGAAAGTCAAGTTCATATTGGATGACAAATTGGTCACGGTCCAAGCAGAAGACGACATTTTGATCAGTGGACTGTCTACCCAACCTTATGTGGATGCGGCTGAAGAGGCCCTTGAAACATCTTTTCAAGCGCTCG